GTTGCCGTTGAACCACGTGCGGGCCACAACCGATGAAAGTCATGGAAATCAAATCCATCAATCCGCATCACAGCCGCTAACTCCTGTGCCAGTAGAGCCCTATCACTATATCCTGAATATGTGCACTAGCGTGTTCAGTGCGGGCGCCCCTCTTCACTACAACAATAGTGAAGTTCATGAGATTAGGACGCATGACACATCGAAGGGCTTGTGACACCGTGTTCAGGGTGGGACTGTACACGAAAATGACATACTCAACTGTTTAGGCCAACTGGCGAATTTCGAACACATCTCCACGCGGCCCAAAGTGACGCTGCCGCAGAACACCCCGAGTTGTGTGGAGTGCGAGGGCCCGTTCATCGCTGCTTGCAGCTTTAATTATTTATTCAGATTGCTGACTCTGAATTAAGCTTTGTGGCACCCTCCGTCAATTAACAAGCCGCCACAGACATGAAATCGCTGTCCATATACATTATACTGTATTATTACTATCAAGACATTCAATAGCATTTGAGTTAAACATGGAGCAGGGGAATTAAAAATACAGGCCAGACTTAGCATAAATCAGAGATGAGTTTAGATTGTGCTGCAACTGACAGACATAAAATCATTGTCCACAGCTGCTCTCAGACCTGAACATAAAGGTCCACCAGTTCAGTCTGCTCCAGTAAGTGGTAGATCTTTCCAGCTTGCAGCCAACCATAGGCCTCCTTTTCCTTGTAGCCCAGGTCGATGAAAATACCCAAACTGCTCTTGGTGTTGTCGAGAGCCGCCCGGTATGCCCTGAAAACATTGAAAGACTTTAGCCCTGTTGATCCAAACTCTAAAATCAAACTAATCATTAGATATTGACATTGACCTATTCTAGCCATAGACACACACACACACACACACACACACACACACACACCTTTCTGTGCCCAAAGAGAGGTAGAGCTGGCCGATGGCCTCCAGTGCTTCTCCCTCCTTTCCTCTATCTCCTGTGCGTTTCAGCAGTTCTACCTGGTGCTGGCTATAGATGATACACTGGGCCTGGTCTGGACTCTCACCCCCATACAGATGGCAAAGGTGTTTGGTTGCAGTGAGCTGACCTGGCAAATTAATTATTGTCCGGTCCAGTTTATTGAAAAGAGAAAAAGAAGCACACAAAACAAAACAAATGTTATTCCACTGGGCATGGTGCTGTTTGGCTCCATGATGTGCCCAAATCCCACCGAGAGCATTTCAGGATTTATAGCATTGTTGCAAAGGGTGCAATCAGCTCCGGTGACCATAGAGGAGCAGGAACATGTCATGGCCATGCCCAGTGGAATTTTGGGATAGAGGTGTGATTTGCATACTTACAGTCTAACAGGCTGGCATTTATAGCCAGCAGCAGAGCCCATTCGTAGCAACTTTTCCCATACTCCAGCTGGTGCTGCTTCAAATAGTGCTGTCCCAGCTCCAGCAGCACTGTGATGAAGTTTGCCTCATGACCTACTTCATGAAGCTCAGAGAAGAGCTGCACAGCCTCAGTCAGGTGTCTCTGTGCTAGTCTTTTAGCTCCAGCCTTCACACATAACAGCCCTTTATAAAGATGAAGAAGCACAGAGTCAGCTCACAGTCCACCGAGGAAACGTCTGATAAGAAGCATACGCTGTCTTACCTAGGTTAGCCTGAGCTACAGCCCAGTTCGGCATGTCCTCATACTCTTGGCAGATGTCGACGGCAGCCTGGTAGCTTTCTGCTGCCCTCCGGAGGTCACCCATGCATCGAAGTGCCACACCACGCATGTTGAGGACCACACCTTTGTATTAAATGAAACACATTTAGGTCTGATGATTAAATCTCACACTGCATATTGTTCTTCAATCAATCATATGTTTACCTAGTTGCTAGTTTATCTGTAAAATGTTGGCCAATTTATTTAGTTCAAAGAGCAACACCTGTATACCTCTCACCCTAACCTTGGCACCAGTCAAGTGGAACTTCAATAATTCCCGGCTCTAGGGGTACTTTTATCAATCTTTGGATTAGTTTAGTTAGATTAGCTATGAAGTTCGCTAGCTATCGTCAGTGAACAGGAAAAACAAAGGTAATGTATTTTAATATATAAAATACAGTTGCTTAGCAAAGGACCAGTGTGTAGGATTTAGTGGCATCTAGCGGTGAAGTTGTAGATTGCAAACAACTGAATACTGCTCGCCTTCTAGAAAACTATGCTGGCCATGAAAAACTGTTCTACAGCCAGTATTTAGTTGGTCTGTTTTGGGCTACTGTAGAAACATGGTGGCTCAACATGGTGGACTGCGTATTTTTTGTTGAGTTACATGTCTTGCAACCAAGAATGCCCATATTGGACATTTTCACTTCCCTTAGCTTCTTAGTTCCTGGAAAGTACTAACTTGAACCAGGGCCACTGTGCCACTCTGTAACTGTTTTTGTTAAAACACATAAGGCCAAAGAAACACACAGACCTTCCTGAGGGGTAGTACAGTGTTCTGGCATGGACGCTAGGACTAAGTCCAGAATATCCAAAGCAACATCTGGCTGATGGTTGTCAATGTGAAGCCATGCCAGCCAGATAAGGGAACTGTTTCTTTCTGTGACAGATCTGAAGAGTTGCCGTGAAGGTGGATTGTTGTTGATGAGGTTATGCATATGGCAGATAGCGTGTCCAACCATTCTGTGCTTGGAAAAGAGTTGACCGAGACAAACAGTAAGCTGATGGCTCAAAATATGATACTGGTCACTTCCTCCTCCTTGGAATTTGGTAGAAGAGAGGGCTTGGTGGAAATATGGAGCCACTTGAGGTGGGATAAAGGCTTCCTGTTCTGTGATCCCATACAGTCTGTTGACATTGTCCAAAGCTAGAACCATGCTGCTAAGACAGTCAACCAGTGTAGCAGAAGACTGCAGAGAAGCTCTCCTGGCCGAACTGACACTGAGGTGGGGAAGTTGGAGTTCGCTGTAGAGCCTTCCCAGGGTCACGTATCCGTGACTGGGAGAGATGCTCCATGTTCCTTGATCTTCACCACAAAGAACAAGTAGTCTCTCAAGATAAGGAACAACTCGAACCCCCTCAGTATGAGTCCAGTGGTGCTTCGCCAACAAGTAACAAGCCCGAGCCTCTGCCATTTTGTTGTGAGTGAGGACAGCTTTCTTGAGGATGTATCTAAGGGCAGAGTTGTCCTCTAAGCTTTCTAGGCAGTCTGGGATTCCCAATAGCAAGGCAACAAGTCGCTCTGTCACAGCAAAGAAACGTTCAGTGTTTTTCTGCAAAAGATATACGGCAGCCAGGTTGGAATAGATGCTGCCCAACAGCCTGAGGTCCGTGAAGACTTCTCGTGGCACACTGAGTGCTTCCTCAAAGTAAACCCGGGCCTGGCTGAATTTTGACCTCCCGGCACAGAGCTTACCCAACAGAAAGCACAAACGAGTCTGTGACCAAAAGAGTCGCTTCTTCCTGGCTGTTTCTCTAGCAACACCCAGGAAGGCAATCAGCTCATCTTCTTCAGAGTGACCAGTGAAGGTAGAGGAGGCAAGGAGCTCAGAACTTAGTCTGTACAGGACGCCAAACTCTTCTTTGTAGTTTTGTCCCTCCAAAAAAGAGAAGAGGGGAATGAAGTTCTCAGTGTTGTTGTTTCCTTCTACAACTGGGTGAACTGTGTAACAGGGAGGGCTTGGGTTTTTTGCCTCTGTAGCCAGGGCCGAGTACTCCAGAGTCCCGTTCATAGTCACAACGGAATCTGAGTGCAAGTCTTTTGATTGATCAAGAATCCTCTGAATACTTCTTTTCAGGTTAGGCAGCTGTGTATCGACTTTGCTTGAAGAGCTGACTGCAGAAAAATATTAGGTGGGAAAAAAATGATGTTTGAATACAGAGGAAACATGATACTTTCATAAAATCAAAAACATGTGCATTACATTTGAATAGCAAAACTTACGTGATGTTTTCTTTCCAGAGTTGTAACTGATCATATCTGATTGAACAACAAAAAGTACAAGAAAGTGAATGAGAGAACACCCTAAAACCTTGATAAGTAAAAACTTTTATTCATAAATCAGGAATGGTCCAAGACGCTGGTGAATATGGTGATATGATACATATCAGGATACAGGGGCTATGATTAAACGCTCACAGTATTAGTAGGTATTGTACAATATTGCAATATATATATTACGATATATTGCAATACTGTGAGCAAGGCATTATTCGTTATATCAGAAGTTGTAATATGATCCAAAAGGTCCTGTTTGATTTTTGACATTCAGGAGTAGAACCAGAGAATTACAAGTTAATCTACCTGGAATGTGTGTTTTGCGCATATTTAACTTAACAGTCCAGTGCTTTGCCAGATGATGCTCCATTTGTTGCAGCAAACATCATCTCAACAACTACTGAACTGATTGTGATGAAATTTGACACAGATATCCATAATGCCATTTGATGGATCCTAATGGTTTATAGTAATGCCCTGACTCTTCATCTAGTGCCAGCAAAAGGTTTTCACTTATTCAGTTTAATATGTCAACAACTACCGGATGGATTGATGAAATGTGTGATGTGTGGTCCCCAAAGGCAGTGGACATACTTTGATTTTTGTCCCAAAATACAACCTTTAACTACATTAGACATGTATCTTACATAATACAGACACAAAAAATGGAGATGGAAAATCTATATGAATCAGTGTGACTTTTGAGTCCTTTCACTTTCTGTCTTACCTAGTTTGTAGTTATGACCAATATCATTCTGAGATTTCTTCTTCAATAAGGCAGTAGTTTCCTCTATGACTTTGTCCTCTTGCAGACTGAAGAAATTCCCTTTTTCTCCATCCAAAAAAATATCTTCTGATCTGGAAGGGTGACAGAGAGTAGAACAAGATGCAGTATCTTCATACTCTACTGCAGAATAGTTGAATGCCTGTTTTGTTAAAATGGCTAACAGTATTAATGGTGATACACTCACTCGTAAATATCACTAGATGGTTTCACCAAGCTTGTCTTGACCAGGCCTACTTCTCCTGTCGACTCCTTCCTTCCTGTGAACCAATCAAAACAAGACACCAGAAGTCCCACGATGATGATGCGATCAGCGGGTGCGACACTGAGCTCGTCTGGGCCCTCTGCATCATACTCCATTGTGGCCAGGCAGGTTCCTCTCGCTGAACACAGGACAGGTATCATACAAGTTTCAGTAGGGTTTATGATCTTAAGTACAATATCATTGGGGAAATTAAAAGTGGTGTTTCTTACAACCCATACCTTCATTTAGTTTTTTTCCATTGTGTCATATTTTCTCTCTTTTATATGTACACTATCCTAAATAGAGTTTACTGCACTTACCAAACTGCAGAGGGAAGTCACAGGCAGGTTTCCCATCACCAACTAAAATGCTGTCTGCACCGATTTTGAGAAACCATCTGTGGACAGATGGGATCATGTGACTACAAAACATGACACATCATATCTCCTAATGTATGTCCTAAGCCCTGCATATGAACTTACTGATGAAAAGGGATGACGGGCTCGAGAGCAGGTTTGGGTGCAGTGCCTCGAGCTCCATCTGCCAGGCAGAGGACGGTCCACCCAGAGCCCAGGAAGGGAGGCTCAAACTGGGCTATGTCTCCCTGCTCCAGGTACAGGTCACCTCCAGATGTGGAGCTGTCAAACATCTGGTTGGTACTGCAACTAGCAAACAATGAACCTGAGGACACAGAGACACTCCATTAGTATTATATGTTTTTTATTTTAACGTCACAAAAAGACAAATATAATGATAAAAGCTCTCCCATCAATGTAGAAACAATCTTGGATTGAACTCAATACTATCAGACTTCTTTTTGTGCAGTCCATGGAATGCATGTTTAAGACACTTTCACACTGGCTTCACTTCTCAGACCCAGAAGCCCAGTCCAATACTGTCAATTGTTAAAATAGAGGTGTTTTGAGGTTGTGTCCTGTTTCACCCATTGGTTTTGTGGAGTACCATTCTGAAGCCTTAAGTTCGGCGTTTTGGCCGCTGCTATGACAGTAAAACTGAGCCAACACGAGCCAGCAGATGTGATGTACTGTGAGTGTATCTGTGCTCATTGACTGCGCAGTTTGGACTCGTCCTTAGCCGGAAACAATAGTGGCTTGCCTGGTCACAAACATTATTGTGAGAAATAGGCAATGCAGTAACACAATCTAGCTTCATATATGATCAGCACAGCCTAGTTTGATAGTTTGATCAAGTTTTCGTGCTGCACTGGAAGGCCTAACTGAGAATGACCTGTCAATCAAAAGGTAGCCTCGCCCAAAAGCACATTTATTTATTTTCGCTTTATTGTTTATTTTACTCTAAATTAGATCATAATTTACTAAATGAACATCATAATGTATTGAAGATGATGTGAAACTATCAACCGAGACCCTAAACTCATCAGGGGCAGCTGTGGCGCAGAGGCAGAGCAGGTTGTCCCCTAATCAGAAAGTTGTTGGTTGGAGTCGGGGGACTCCTGGTGCCACATGTCGAAGTATTGAGCAAGATACTGAGCAAGATGCCGTGCATCGGTGTGTGAATGTGTATGAAAGCATTAGTTTCTTTTCGATGTGCTTTGCCATCACTGTGTGAAAGGGTGAATGTGGCACATAGTGTAAAAGTGCTTTTTCACAGTTCTGCATTGGGTTCACTTTTCAGACCGGGAAGCTCTGTCCATAATATATACTGTCAACTGTGAAAACTTCCTAAGCCCTGCCCCTTTTTGCTCTGTGCTCCAATAACAGTTGAGCAAGCCTCGGCTAGAACCTCTGTCAACTTTCCTGTACTCAGATATGCTATGTGCTAAGCTAGTCTATGTTGAAAAGACAACCACATTTTGAAGATGGTTAAAAGATAAAAGCAATATATATATATAAATATATATATATATATATATAATAATTCTTACTCTAACCCTAACCAATCTTAGTCCTCATGCCTAAACCTAACCAATCAAAGCAATAAGGGCAACAAGTACTAGCCAATCAGAGGCAGAGTAGGGCGGGTCATGACCTTGCCACCCTAGGAAAAAAACATTTGGTATGGAAAAAGTTTCCTGTCAGTCCATGTGACTTTGTTCTTGGTTAATTTCCAAAACTGATGAAAGCTGTGAGATGCTGTTAAAAGCTGTGAAAAAAGCTAGTGAGTGGACCATTGAGTTCAGATTATTTATCCAAATACTGGAAGTAATATTTTCATATATATATATTATGTTTAATATTAATATCAGCCAGTACTCGATGCTATAGTTACTTTAGCACCTAAAAAATATGCATCTCCCTTTATGCAACAATGCAGCCCAGCAGGCCATTTATTTGCAGAGACTGGATTTTATCACCTACCTTCCTGCATGAGGATGCCTTTGTACATTAGGTTTAGCGTGTCCTCCTGAATGGAAACCTCAATAGCGACGTCCTCCTCTAAAGAACTGAGCCAAAACTTCTGGTCTAACAACAGATTCTCCATACACTGACCCAAGAAACCTGGAGGGGAGGACAGAGATGATGAATGAATTTAATCGTATTCTAAACTGGATACTGGCATCATCATTTTTAATAGTTAACTTAAATGCAACACTTGACTCCAAAAAAAGTCACTTCATAAATATCACTTAAATGATTTGCACTTTTGCCTTATTGCAAATACAAGAATCCCATTGTTACTGACAGCTGCCTTACTGCAGTCCAAACCTACCTATCGTGTAATATGTGGTGAACTTCCATATTTCCTCAAATGTTTTGAATGTCACAAAAATAATTTTTTCTTCACTGCTGATGGAGATGAGGTGAGTGGACAACTCCTACAAATGGAAAAATGAAGAAGGTTTAACAAAGAAATATTAATTTATGTGAATATAGTCTTTTTTTGTTTCAAGCATCACCTTCAACTTGTGTAATAATTCAATTTCACAGATTATCTGTCAGCAACTATAAGTTATTTTTATAAAAATGACCTACTACAACTTTAATATTGTTGTAATATATAGAAATATATTCTCACTGATGGTCTTTTTAGTTTATGTAGGTCATAAAGAGGCATCAGTATTAAACTGAGACTGTTTCATGAAAAGTTAAAAATTCGTTGTAGTCCATATGTTTTTTCTTTTTAACTAATGGGCGTAGTATTTATTCTAATAGTCTTTACACATGGAAGTTGTATATTTAGTCACATTAAATATTTTGAGTTTGGAACATGCTGAGCAGACAGTACTGCTGGACAGTGGGAAAGAGGATTATGCCGCAGGAGTGGTAAAAGAGGTTTCTCAGGGCATTTAGATATTTTTTTTCCTGATCTGAAAACTCACCACTGGAATCCATGGTGACATGAACCAAAGTAGACCACAACCACTACTTTCTATGAAGAATGAAACTACCGAATTGTAGCTACTAAAGTATACTTGTGAAGTATTATTTTAACCTAAACATTTTCATTCATACTTTATGGAGGAAATTGACTTTTTACAACTTCAAATGCCAGGAGCTGAATATAGGCTTGGTAGGCGTGTGTGTGTGTGTGTGTGTGTGTGTGGCTGTGAGCTGTACCATGAATAGAGCGTTGACCTCGGTGCTGTCAGCTTGCAGAATGCGTAGTTTCCCTCTCAGCATTTCCTGTGCCGCCTCGTTTGCAGGAAGACGTTCGGGACCTCTGACCACATCCAACAGCACGGGCAGAGCTGAACACACATCATGACAACTTTCCACTTTATCCAATCGCTCCTTATCACT